ACCTACCTCTTCACTTCTCATGTTTTGGTCTCTTGGCCACTGAACATTTTGGCGGTCACCTTAGCCTCATACCCAGCCTGTCCACCACTTTGGGGGACAGGTGCCTATAGCAGCTGCCGCTGAATCACATGAGAGTGGGCAGGAGTGGGGCAGGGCTGCTGTGTGTTGGGGGCGGCAGTTGTAGGGGCAGAGCTCATTTACTCTTCTAAGTCAACATTTTGAGATGTAACATTCAGACAGAAGAGTAGAGGAGGAAGGCAAGGGTAGGGCTACACAAGGTACTCTTACTACCTGGTCTTTGCTCCAGCTGTCCCCGCTGCCTAGGATACCCTTCCACCAGATACATTCAAGGTAGACTCTCTTTGCCTCTCTCAAGTCTTTATTCAAATGACAGTGTCTTAGTGGGACCTTTTCTGACCACCATATGCAAAATTGCAACTCCCTGTTCCAGGTACCTCCCTGTCAGGACTAGAGCCAACGTGGGGCAAGTGAGGTACCAAGGGCACAGATTTTAAGGAAGCACTCTCTCTCAAGGTCCTGAAAGTGCAGGATTGGTACTTGCTCAACCTGAAAGGTGCATTCCTCTTTAAATGTGGTTCTTAGGTGCTACACTTGCCTCACCTTGGTCCCTGTCCTGAACCTTATTCCTCTTTCTTGCTGCACTTTTCTCAAAGCCTTTCTCTAGAAGGATAACTCCCTAAGGATGGTGATATTATCTGTTTTGTTCACTGATCATTTCTACGTTACACAGAGTTTCTAGCACACTGTAGGCACTCTAACACACACTGCAAATGAATTAGTGAATAAATGAATGAATGAATGTTTAAATAAACATTTAAATGTATGTTTTCTGTATAAGCATTTCATTCTTCCTTCTAGCAGTGTACTTAAGCCACTGTTAGATTCTGAGCTTTTTAACCTCAGTGACCAGGTCTTTTCATCTACTTGTCCCCATACATCGCACCATGTCTGGCATACTGGGCAACCTAATAAAGGTTGATTAAGTGAATATACAGGGTCCAGCACAAAAAACATCCCTTTTTTATTAAAAAAATATTTTATTACAAAATCATAAGCATGTAATTCTGTAACATAACAATATCACACTCAGGCACACCATATGGCATTTTAGGTGAAACGTTCAAATTAAAACTATAAATTCTTCCACCCATATTATTACCCTACCAATCACACTCAAACAGGCCTTACTTCTGCCAGACCGTGTATATCTGCATTTTCTCAGTATAACATGCCATCACCCTGACAGCCATTATTACACTAGGAAGAGCCTAACTCTTGGAAGTAACTGGAGATAACATGGCTGAGATTTGCACAATGTACTAATCCCTTCTGAAGCTCCTTTCTAACTGAAAAATGCACATGATTAACTTCATCCCATAGGGTGTAATTCTGTGTCATTCTGTACAGGGTGCCTAGCACATAGCCACGCGAGATACGCCTACTCCTGTGATCATTTTGACATTCCTATACCATTACTATTATATTTTTCCTCTAATAGATCTACAATGTAGGATTTCCCTAAGTTGATATTTTTATTTAGTTCTTACAAGGCTCTCTTCAGTTTTTTTCTTATTTTTTATTCTCTTTGAATTCTCTATTTCCATTCCTTCTCTTTACATCATATTCTATATTATTTCCCTCTTGTCTTTCATATATGTTATCGAGTAATTAATATGTGCCAAGAACTATGCCAGCACTGTGAATGCAAAGGAAACTTAAACACGGTCCCTTCTTCTGAGAAACTCGTAGTGAAGCTGGGGAAAGACATACCAGCAATTAGAGTTGACTGTTTTCTCAGCTCCCGCCAAGGGTGCTGTGGGGATGCAGGAGGGCAGGGCTGATTTCTCCCACAGCTGACTCTCCTGTAGCCCTAATTAGGGAAGACCCAGTTTCTCTATCCTGTTTAGTCTCTCTAGTATTTCCCTTTGAAGAAAACTTTTCCTGTTTCCTTTGATTTATAGCTATCTTTCCTTCATTACATCTCTTGATGCTATTTCCTTTCTTCCTTTTTTTAAAAATAAAACCTTAATTCTAAAAATCCATTACAAATCACTTCAGAAGCTTAGTCATAAAGTGAACACTTGATTTCCCATGGCATAAATACTTTAAGACTACTACAGAGCATATGTAATTGAATCACAGCATTGTGTGTAGCAGCAGGTCTCCTGGTCTCACTAATAAGTCTAGCACCGGATGTGAAAAGAATCAACAGGTCCTGTGCCTCTGTGAGCCTTGGCCCTTCAAAGGCAGTTTCTGTGAAATATCAAAACTTGTATCATGATTCAGAGCTTCATTTTCAGTGTTTTCCTCTGGGAAAAAAAATGAAAAAAATACTTTATTCAGTGTTTGAGTGAGTGTATAGTACAAAAAATGTCTGTGGGTATGACTGATATAAAAAATAAAAATAATCATAAATATTTATAATTTGGGGGAGATTAAAACATAAATTAGAGTTAAGATAGAATTATTCAAATGTCAAAACAAAGAACAATGACTATGGAGCTGGATCCCCAGAGCCCACGTGGAGCCAGGAATGGTCCCAGTCTTCTCCAGCCAGAGTGGAGCTACCTTGTTGAAGGCCCAGAGGGGTCATACCTTAATAATGAGTGTACACCATTCATAAAGTAGAGACTACTGTAGATTTTCTCTAAAAGGTTAAAAACAAGATTCAAATTTAGCCACAAGTAGCTTAGCTGTCCACCAGAACAAAGGGCAATACTTCAAAAAAAAGACTCCAGCACTCTGTACCTTATGTATACCATGGTCAGCATCTGGTCAAAAAAAATTGAGGCATATGATAAAGTCAGAAAAAATGACACACTACCAAAATAAAAATCAAACAATAGAAATAGTCCCAGAAATTACATTGATGATGTAATTAGCAGTCAAAGGTATTAAAATATCTACTTTAAGTACATACTAAATGATGTAAAGCAAGCATGAATATCATGACAAGGCAAATAGAAATATAAAAAATACAAGATGGGGTTTATACAATGAAAACTAAAATATAGAAAAAATAATATTTCAGTGAATGGGATTAACAGATATTAGATATTATACATGTAAAAATCAGTAAATTTAAAAACATAACAATAAAAAATAGGCAAATGAGACACATAGAGGGAAAACAAAGTTAAAAAAAATGAACAGACTCTCAGCAACTTGCAGAGTACAGTCGAGAGGTATGTTAGAAGTATAATCAGAGACCCAAAAGGACAGGAGACAGGCCAGAAAAAAATTTTAAAGAAATAATAAATTGAAAAATATTCAGATAAAATGAAACTATAAACCCAAATCCATGAAGCTTAACAAATCCCAAAAAAGTTGAACACAAAGAAGATATAAAATTGCTAAAAACCAGGGATAAAAAGAAAATCCTAATATAAGCCACAGTGAAAAGTTCTGTTGGATGCAGAAAAACAAAGTCAGAATTGTGGCAGACTGCTCAGAAACCATACACAAGGCCAGGAAGGAACAACATCTTTAACGTGGTAAAAGGAAAAAAATCTTTCAACCTAGATATATTTCCAAGGACAATGGAATGGCATAAAGTGCTAAAAAGAAGGGGGGAAAAACTGTCAAATTAAACTTTCCTACTAAGTGAAAATAGTTTTTTTTCAAAAATTAAGCCAAAATAAAGACTTTTAAAGGGTACAAGAAGTCTTAATTCTCACATCAGCACTACAATAAATGGCAGAGAATGTTCTTTAGGGTGAAGAAGATTATAGCATATAGATATTTGGGTAAATATAAAAAAATAATTTTTTTCTTGCTTCAAAAACATATTTCAAAAATGATCATTTAAAGCAAAAATAATTCTCACAGGGGGTTATAAAATATGTGTAAGTAAAATGTACTAAAACAACACCCAGTAGAAGGGGGAAATAGAAATATATTGTAGGAATCTCACAATGTACATTAAGTTGTATAATAGTATTTGAATGTAGACTGTGATAAGTTAATGATGTGTATTTTCGATCCTACAACAGCCACAAAAACAACACAGAGGTTTAGCGAGTATGCCAATTTTAGGGATAAAATGAAAAGCCAAAAAAGTTCATTCCAAAAGAAGCCAGAAAACAAGGAAAAGGAAACAAAGGGCAGATGAGACATACAGAAAAAAGAGATGATTGATTCATATCCAGCTACACCAGTGATTATAATAAATGTAAATGTACTGAGCACATCAATGGAAAGGCAGAAATTGTCAGACTGAAGATGAAAGCAAGGTCTAATTATGTGTTGTTTATAAGAAACTTACTTTAAATGCAGTGTGTTTTGATGTTTATTTTTGCATTGTGTAAGGGGAAAAAGTGCTTACCAAACAATCTGAAAATGGGAGAAAGTTTAAACTGCTCAGATAATAAGCAATTCTTCAGGAATTTTGGACTAGCAATTTTTCTTCCAACAGTTTATGTGATCTCTTAAATTCACTAGAGCAAGTAACAAGGCAAGAACAGGGCTATACTTTCTTTGCCATCATTCTGTTGTTATGTATAAAAAGTTGCTCATGTTTTCATAATTATAACAAAAATTCCATGATTCCTCAATTTTTATGAATTATTAAGGTTTTATTACATATAAACTTTTGTGTATAAACATTTCTTATTCTTTCAGAGAAGAAAGCTGCATTTTTATCGTACTTTCTGAGAATAATTAATACATAGTACTATAAATAAGGATAAAATTCAACTGTTTCATTTTTAACTCTATGAGATAATGTAGTCAATTATCTTTATTAAACAAATTTTTAATTATTATTGAAAAACCTCCAAATCCAGCATGCAGTGAATTGAAATTCACATCTGAACTCGAAGGTAACTAGGTATATTTCAATCTATGCACTTAATCGTCTTCAGCAAATAGAATTTTTTGAAAAGTTACTTTTTCATGACAGTGTGAAAACAAGTCCCAATCTGAAAGAGAAGGCATTCTGGAGAAACCATCCTCAGGGGTATGAACTCTCTCTGTTGCAGGTCATACGGAAAGGAGAGGTGAGCTGTTGCTGGATTTGCACAGCCTGTAAGGAGAACGAATATGTGCAAGATGAGTTCACCTGCAAAGCCTGTGACTTGGGCTGGTGGCCCAATGCAGATCTCACAGGTAGGGAACCTTGTCTTTGAGTGGTGGCCTTTCCAAAGGACGCAGTGTTTAAAATGTGAGCAGTTAGCTCGTGCCTTTTTTGATGTTCATTTACAGGGTGCGTTCTCTAACTCTCCTGTCAAAGAGTATACACAAACCTCTGACAAATTTCCCATGATCTACACTAAAAGGAAAGTTTATTTAAACTTTATAAAAATGTATTGAAAGGGTATTCAGCAGGGGGAGATTAGGGTGGGGAGGGACTGAGCAAAAAGGAAAAAGGACTCATGGACATGGTTAACAGTGTGGTGATTGCCGGACAGGGGGATATAAAGGGACAAAATTGCAGTGGAAAAAATACAATAAAGATTAAATTTAAAAAAAAACAAAAAAGGGTATTCTGGTGTACCAATAGTCTTGTTGCTGTTTTAAAATTTTATTTGAAGCTATTTCTAATTACTTGAATTCATATTTGCACCAAAACAAAGATGATCCACTAGTAAAATCAATGGGACTCATATGGATGGATTATGTGAGTTTACCTGTTTCCTAAGAACAATGTTCAGGTATCTTTATTTTGTTTTTCACAGTCCCTGCTTTACAACAGGAGAGGTATTTCACAAGTACTTTGCCCAGATTTTAAGGGTAATAGGGCCATGGAAAGTTTGTCCTCTGAGTAATCTAACCCTTCATTTGAAAAAGGAAACAGAAGCCAAGGGAGGCCTATTTGCATGCCCAAGGTCACCACAGAAGGTGCAGAGACCTGTTCACTGACAGCTGATCCTGTGCCTTCCTGGCTATTGATGAAAATCACTAGGGGGCAGGGAGAGGGGTAACATTCCTGATTATTGTTCCCTTTTTCACTTGTTTCCAAATAAGAATATAAAACTAAGAAATTACGTGATTTATTCAAGGCCCATCAAAAATGGCTGGGTTGGTAGAACCAGTCCACATAATTAAAATGATACTTATTAAGTGAGAGTACTTTGTAAAATGTTAATGCTGTTAGAAGAAAATGTACTAAAATGAGAACCAGACATATTTGAGAAATCACCTAGTACAAAGAGCTTTTTAAAGAAAAGGAAATCCTATCAGGATATTTTTGAAGGTATAAATTGTATCTCATTCATCTTTTTATTCTCTAGCTAAAAACTTGTTCTCAACTTTATGAGCCTAAAAATTACCCAGGAATTACCCACCTGCAGAGATTCTTATTCACCTGTTCTGAGATGGGACCCAGCAGATTCCGAGGCACTTATTTCCTGTCCCATCCTTACAGAAACAGCCTTGACTATAATAGCTTCTTAATAAATATTTGTTCTTTTGAGAGAATTAAAAAGAAGGGACTCACTCAAGTTCATCTAGGTCAATGCAGTTGGTTAATAAAGAAGCCACCATGAGAATCCGGGACCTTTGTCCTGGGTTCTAATGCTCTCCCACTGTGCCGCCAATCTCGTGGCTGTGTGCGGTGGACTGGCTTGGAAAAACTTTTCCAACCTCTTTTTGGACACATGCCATCCCCCACTCATTCTGTGTCTCTCTTCACACTTTTATCCTCCTTCATGGTGTGTGCTGCTCACTGGGCCTTTTTGTCTTGAGTAAGCAGGTCCCCTTAGATCACCACAGGGCTTGAGCACTGGGTTTGACTTCATAGTCGGTCGAATCTGCTACTGGACTGAGACCACCGCTGACTAAGAGAGTCAAAGACAAAACTGGCTTCTTCTACAGGTTGACCTTAGAAGTCAAAAGCCCCGGCTTTTGGGTACAGCAGTTTTTTCTCTTGTCTACTTTTTGTGGAGCTTCTCCAAGCTTTTCTTACTGCTCCATTTTCACATTAACCGGGGCTTAACTCATAAATGAAAAAGAATTTCTATCCTATTTTAAAATATTAAAATACAAAAATAAATTTTAAAAATGATCTAGCATGTTATAATAATGAAACTGAAAGATTTTTTTTGTCAGCATTTAAATTTTATACTTTATTTTTTATAATGCATAAACAGGGATCGCTTCTGCCATAATATATGTTAACAGTAGTTTAACATATTTTTGTCCAGTAGAGATCTTCCATCATGGGTATGTTATCTGCCCACTGACAAATGATCACCACCGTTGATTAGGGCACTTTGACTTCGTAAATATAAAAATATCATCCTTGACTATAAACAGATGAATATGAAGGCAATTATCCTTGTAAAGAATGTAATCTACTACCATCCTTCACATGTACAATGGTCACTTTAATATTCAAATGAGTTGGGCCAAGCAACAGCTCAGACTGCCTTTATCTAACAACAGGCAAGTGTCTCATCTACCCAGATTACTTTGCAGATCTTATATTTAGGATCGTTTAGAATAGCTCTCACACTCCTTTATACTTACTGTTAATTGCCATCTGTTGTTTCTTACCCCTTTGCTCTTATCCATGATGGAAACTGAGATCTCATTTGCCACTTATTTTGTGCTGTGTCAGGCTCAGAGCAAGGGCGCAGCACATGGCAATGAGGTGGTGGTGGTTGTCATGGCAGCAGTAGTTGTTTAAAAAAAAATCCTGCAGAGAATAGCAAAAATCAGTAGAAAAACTCAGAGGAATAATGCATTGCCTTTAACTAGGTATTTTATTTTCATGCATAGATTTTTTTTTTTTACTAAATTTTAGTTAACTTGCAAAATTATTCTTTTTTGGGAAATGGTGTTTTTTATTGAAGATAGAGTTTGTCAAGATATGTTTAAAATTATGAGATAGCTACTTTCCATGTATGCTTCAAAGACTCTAATATTAATGAATAAATACACGTTTTGAAGTGAGTTTTTGTTTTTATCAGCATATGGTTTTTGGCTATGAAGAAAAATTGGTATATTTCCTAGAGGAAATGATTTCTAAATCTGCTAATAAGTTTCTCATATTTTCTTTTTGGGAAAAATGTACATTTTAATTCAGCATTTAAATTTTATACTTTATTTTTTATAATGCATAAACAGGGATCGCTTCTGCCATAATATATGTTAACAGTAGTTTAACAATTCGTAAGCCAATTATATGTAATCAAATGCTACTTATTTCTTTTAAAAAGTCAAACAGTATAAGAGAGTTCCTCAGAAAGCCAGACTACACTAAATTTAATCATTAGAAATACAAAATACTTAATTATAGAAATTAACTAACTTTAACTATTTTTCTTCATTGAAATATTTGCTGTGATCTCTTATACTATCTACTCATTTATTTAATTTTATATTATACGTGGCCATCTGCTTAATGCCAGGTCTTTTTTTTTTTAGCAACTGGGGACATATGGGTGAATGAAGCAAGGTTTGTATCATGGAGAATGAGATTCATAAAAAACTAGACATGTAAACAGTTAATTATGATATAGGTCCTATAATAGGGATATTTGAAAAATGTCACATGAACACAGAATTAAAAAGCCATTATTTTTCCCAGAGAAGAGACATTTGAGTTGAATATTGAATAATAAATAGAATTTTACCTTGTATGTAATTCATATTAATGTAAGAACATTAAAAAACACATCTCAATGAAACCTTAGGTAATCATGAAGAATTACTGTAAATGTTAGTAAATGCCCAAGATACTTTGAGTAAAATAATTGTGGCCTTTTTTAAATTTTTTGATTCATATTAAGTTTGTCTTTACCTGAGGGAAAAGAAGTCCAATAGTAAATTTTAGCTTCTTCCAATGTGTTTGGATTCTATGGGTGAGCCACAATTTGTTTCGAAAATTAGAAATAATCCCTGGTCGTCAGGCCAGAGTCATTACCACTTCTCTTAGATTTTGCCAAGTAATTTATAGTCTGCTTGAAGAAAACTGACTTGTCTGATGGCTCTGGATTCTCTGGGTCAACTCTACAATGAAACTGTCAGGTTCTTAAGTTCTCAATCTCTAAATATAGTATGCACTACTCCCAGAATATCTTCTCCATTTGGATGCTGAGGATCAGGTAGGCTCCTCAAACATTTTGAAGGTTACCTCAACCTCTTCAAGACTTGGAATCTCCAAATACACCTGGTGGTTGGACAACTCTTCTCTGCAAACCTCCAAACAGCACAACAAAGTACATTACATGTTGTATTACATCTATGGACAATACGGATATTATAACTAATTCCCAAAAGATATCAAAGCTAGTGATTCTCAAATTTAGGATGTCTAAGAAAATTTTTAAAAAATTTAAAAAAAGAAAAAAGAGTAAGAAGAAGGAGGAGGAGGAAGAAAAGGAGAAGAAGAAAGAAAAAAGAAGAAATACTTTAGGAAGATTATTCAAAATGTAAATGTTCAGTTTGAATCCCTATGAGGCACTATTTTGGGTTGTCCTGGATTGCCATTGAAAAGCCCAGTTTCCACACAAGGAAAATAATCAAGGATCTTCACAAGAGATAAAACAATCACAGTGAAATCGTAGGTATATTGTTTTGAGGTGTTATGACAAACTGCTACCGTTACAACACAAGAATACTTGTTTCCCCTTCTAGCACATTACAATTTTTTCACTGTTTGAATAGTTTTATTAAATCAAGGTATCTGATGTGCTATTAATAGTGAGGTTATTGGTAGACACAAAGGCACCTTTACCAATAGGAAAATGTTGCTTCCCTTGGAAGTTCAGAGGAAGAACACGGGTTCTTTGGTGCCAATGTCTTCCATGATGTTAACTTATTGGACAAATTTTAAGCAGCTGTCCTTCTGAGCTTTGGCTAATGTGGAACATTGGTTCTATATATGACACTTTTGTTTGCAGTTTTATAGATTTTTTTTGTCTATAGTCTCCCAAATCATAGAGAATAGAGGTTCTTTTTTATTGTTTTACCTAAAGATTCATAATTACACTAATTTTTAGTTTATTTATCTTTATGCTCTATCAAAATGTCTAGTCACATATAGAATATTTATGAGTCAGTAATTTTTTATTTTAATATCACTCTCTGGCTTGATTTCTCTAATTCAGATTTGAGCCTATTTATAAGAAGAGAAGATATGGTTCTTCCTATGTCAGTTGTGGAGTCCACCCCAGAATTCTTTGAAGGGTGCCTAAAGTCTATCTTTCCTCTTTATTTAGTTTATAATTTTGAATCTTTACTTAAAAAAGCATCTGAAATTGCCTTATGTAATGTATTTTTTACTTTTATCTTTAAAATTTTACACTACTGGGTTATCTAAATCTTTTCTTTTCTAATCTCCTGCTTTTAAACATTTTCTTCCATGAGGCTAACAATTAATTGAATTAATTGGTACAAATCTGTAATGTGGGACAATAAGTACTTAATAAAACTCCTGACTTTTGCAGAAAATGTTTTCCTTCTATCTCTGAAATTTAGGAAAACCATTAATTATAGCTCTTAATTTGGCTCACAGACTTAATTCAACTTTCATAGATCTGAGTTGTGTTCTACAAATTTAAAATATGGTATTCTTTTCTGATGAAAACTCTGAAGACAGAATAGTTTATTTGAAAATTCAGATAAAGTTACATAGTCAAAGTGAAATGTAAAGGGTTGCTTTCAGAAGGTTACCAAGGCCTTCACAAGGACTACTTTGGAATTTGAATTTTACTTTACAATCTCAGTATGTCAATTAAGAAGCTTAATATTGACTATTTAGTATTTTATTTTCTAATTTGTCTACAAACCCTTTTTAAATATTTTAATTTTTTTGATTGTGTCATATCAAAAATTCTCCTTAATGGCCATTGTTATTCTTTCTATCTATCTACTCATCTTTCTAAACTTTATCAAGGAAATGAGAAGATTTAAGGTTAAAATGTGAGATTTTATAGGAAACAGAAGTTATTCCAGGAAGAGATTGAGACTTGCACATAAACAAATCCCTGACAGACAAGAGAGAGAGGCCATTATGATCAGTCAAGAGTTTGTGCTTTTGAATGGCTGGCATTCATTTATTAAATATAAGTCTGTTCCTGATTGGGTGATTATCAGAAGCAAGTGCTGATACTGATTGGTTGGCATGCAAAAGCATGTTCACTGAGAGGTGTTGTTGCAGATTGACTGAACAGGTTTAAAATAGGTCCTCATGGTTCCTTGTTACCATGCCTACAGAACAGTGTTTCCTCCTAAATTTATGGACATGTTTATATTCTAACAATTTGGAAAATACTGGCATAGACAAAACACAAAATTCTGTTAAGGAGTTGTCTCCAGGACCTGAGACATTTTTCTCTGTGTGTGAAATACAAACAGATTTTATCCTTCATCTCAAAGCAAAGATAAGCCAGGCTTTTAGGAACACAGCTCTGTCTCTTTTTCCAAGAGATGGGTGAGGCGAGATGTCATTATTCTTTGGTATGTCTATCAGGAGCTGATAATTAAGAGGAGCTCAGATGTCACATACAGATCATACATAATTAAAAGGGTGAGACTTAAAATGAATAATATAATATTTGGTAAACAGGAGAATGTGGATGCTTCTAGAGAATTTGAGTGAAATTTATGTTTAAAACAATGCTGGCCAAGAAAGTGCTTGTCTGTGAGCCGAATGTACCACTAGACACTAGTTACATAAAAATAAAAGTTTTATTAGTTTATTTCTTACTAACTTATCCAATACATTCTCACCATTTACCCTTCTTCAGAAACATAGTTGAATTTCCTTCTTTTTCTTTCTCTTTCTGAAACTGTAGAATCAAGTATCACCCACAGAGTGTCATCCTTGTATGATGCTAGTGTTGGAAAAAAGATTATTTTTACAGGCTCAAGTATGTCACATTAGGATTGTCATACAATTAAGTTTGGAAACATGATTGTCCAGAGAAAACAAAGATGTATTTTTATTTGTGTAAGAGTATAGCATTTTTAAAAAGCATTAAGATGACGTAAGTCATCTTAATAAGATGGAGTGTGTGAGTTTAGCTATGCCTCTGGTGACTAGAAAGCACTGTTATTACTGAGCAGCAGAAATCTTGGATTCATTTTAAAACTACTTTTCCCTTCACAGGCTGTGAACCCATTCCTGTCCGCTACCTTGAGTGGAGCAATATAGAATCCATCATAGCCATCGCCTTTTCCTGCCTGGGCATCCTCGTTACCGTGTTTGTCACGCTCATCTTTGTGCTATACCGGGACACACCAGTGGTCAAGTCTTCTAGTCGAGAGCTCTGCTACATTATCCTCGCTGGCATCTTCCTCGGTTACGTGTGCCCTTTCACTCTCATTGCCAAACCGACCACCACATCCTGCTACCTCCAGCGCCTCCTGGTTGGCCTCTCTTCTGCCATGTGCTACTCTGCTTTAGTGACCAAAACCAATCGCATTGCGCGCATCCTAGCTGGCAGCAAGAAGAAGATCTGCACCCGGAAGCCCAGGTTCATGAGCGCCTGGGCCCAGGTGATCATTGCCTCAATTCTGATTAGTGTGCAGCTAACCCTGGTGGTGACCTTATTCATCATGGAGCCCCCCATGCCCATTCTGTCATACCCAAGTATCAAGGAAGTCTACCTTATCTGCAATACCAGCAACCTGGGCGTGGTGGCCCCTTTGGGCTACAATGGACTCCTCATCATGAGCTGTACCTATTATGCCTTCAAGACCCGCAACGTGCCCGCCAACTTCAATGAGGCCAAATATATCGCTTTCACCATGTATACCACCTGTATCATCTGGCTGGCTTTTGTGCCCATATACTTTGGGAGCAACTACAAGATCATCACTACCTGCTTTGCAGTGAGCCTCAGTGTAACGGTGGCCCTGGGGTGCATGTTCACTCCCAAGATGTACATCATTATTGCCAAGCCCGAGAGGAACGTCCGCAGTGCCTTCACCACCTCTGATGTAGTCCGCATGCACGTCGGCGACGGCAAGCTGCCCTGCCGCTCCAACACCTTCCTCAACATTTTCCGAAGAAAGAAGCCAGGGGCAGGGAATGCCAAGTGAGTAATCTGACCCACTTTGTTTTCTCCCCTCTCCTTTCTTTGTTTCTATTGATTAAATTTTATCTTCACTTTCCCCAATGTTTTTTATTTTCTTTCTTAATCTTTTCTCTTTTTTTTTCTAATCTTCCATTGTGTTGGAGTAGAAATGTCTTCTTGTTTTCATTCCCTTGAAAGAGCCAGGAGCATGAAGCAACAGCCAGCTGATCGTATCTTCATCTGACCTAGAATCTGCAGCTTCTGTTCTGCCAACAATTTTTTCCTTTCACGTGGGCCCTCTCTCTCTCTCAAAGTTGCTTAGCACCAATACCTCTTGGAGGTCTGGGTCAGGGATGCAAGCTCTAGTTCTGATTTTTAGTTTAGACCATGGTTGAAGATCTTTTCTGATTTATTGTCACTCTAGAGCCACATCATTACTAATTTGGGAAGAGAGGAAGGAAATTAAGCAATTGGGGAAATTTTTCGAAGTTTGGCTGCAACTGAGCACCAAGTATGTCCTGAAATAAGTTCCTTTAAGCAATTCTCAAATCATGTCCCTCTTATTTATTGAACTTTAATGCATGTTGTAATAAAGATGTTCTATAATGTGGCACATAAATTGAGCTATCTCTACTTCAAGGCTATGGTCAGAATGGTTTCCTACCCATAAAGTACCAAAAGAAATAAGAACCAGTTAAAGGTGATAAGCCCTAAACATGAGAGTCAGTGTCAACATCAAAGTCCAGATTATTCTATTTTGCCAATTTTTTGACAAGTTTGTATAATAAATGCTTTCCTATCTTCCTCCTGACTCTGTGTTGCAAAAAAGCATATGTTAAATTTTGCATGAGTCATCGTTTTCTGTGACCCACGAAACAAATTTCATATAACAAACATTTCAAATTAACAATTTTGAAAATGACATGGATGCCTAAAGTTCTAAAGAAAATTGAATTGTCCAGAAGTTAAGGAATTTTCCCATTAACAGTGTTAATTGTGCTGTTGAAATAATCCTTTAAAATAAAAAATTATAAAAGTAATTATTTTAACATACACTTTTTTTTTATAACTATTCCATTTACCTGAACAAACCAGGAAGATAAAGGGGGTGGCTGTTATATTTCTCCATTTTGTAGTTGAGGAAACTGAGCCTCTGTGAATTTCTGTGACTCACAAGTATAATTTCACTTAGTTAGTCATTCTTTTTTTATGTCTTAACTGGCATACAATTTCTCATCTTAACATATGTCAAAAAACCTATATGCCTTAGTTTTTGTATCTTTACTTGCCAAGCAGCACCAGGCATCTTTATAGAAATCATATTATTGGTTTGATGATAAGATGAGGGAGTCCATGGAAAATATACTTTTGAAATCCATAAAGTTATTTCAAATAAGGGCATCCCTAAATTTTTTTTCAGCATTAGGGATGAAGGCAATAATTTACACCTAATAATTCTCACTGTATCAGTTTCAAGTTCTTCATAGGATACTCATCACCAAAGTTGCTTAGCCTTTTTTTCCTTTTCCATGGCTTGTTATGCTAGCCAACACTGCCTTGGCAGCCTTCTGGCAGGGAAATATCAGCTAGCCTGAAAGCAAACCAATAGTGCCATTACATGAGAAAAAAATAGGCTATAGCCACAGAGTCCAGATGTAAAACAGCATAACAGTTTTCACTGAGAGGAAAAGAACAAGAGGAAACAAACTGAAAATAAGGGAGAAAACACTCTTTGGACTGGAATATTCATAGGAATTAAGAGACAATCTTTTTCGCATCCCATATGGCTTTATGCGTGTTCCATGCCACCACCCAACATGATCTAGTTCCGTGTTTCTAACTTTCCTGCCTTTATTTTGATCCGTCCAAAACTTTCATTTGATTTTGGTCATGGGTCATTCATGGAAGTTGTTCTTCTAACTGCTTTAATGAAAAGAGAGAGCCTGTGTGATCAGGATTTCTTGCGCAGACACCCAAGCATGTGCATTGTTGAAAGGTCCCCCAGTGATTCTGTGTACAGACAGTGTACGGACCTGCCCGAGAGAAGAGTGACTAATGGACTATAGTCATGGTGATTGCTGCTGGGAGAAGATGAAGCTAGCTGGATATTGCGTTAACAAGGCTCAACACCTCTGTCGCATCCAGGCATTGCTATCCATTCTGATCACTTTCTCACACCCGCAGATGCTTTTCTTATAAGCTGACAATATCCCCTTCGTTATTATGAATTTAGGAATTAGTTTCATTTGGGATCCTGGTTATGAGAGAAAAATCAGCTTGGTCTATAATTGGATTGGTTCTCTAGAAGTGCTGGTTTCACCAGTGCGTTGCATACTTATTGGCTATAATTGATCAAGCACTATCAGATTATTACAGTAAGAAAAATACTTCTAATTAATAAGTATAACATGCAGCTTTCTTAGTACAATCTGTAGCTTCTCTAAGGTCTACCACACAGCTAAGCTGACCCGCACAGGGTATTTGAAACTAAACTTCTATGGAAAACAGCATTCATTTATTCATTTTTCTCATTTATTCTACTGTTGCTTCTCTTATAACTCTCTCTGAGACTATAATTTTAAAATATAACAATAATCTCAGTTCCTATGTTTTCATCTTTGCACTGCTATTATGTGTTCCTGGTTTGTTGCTAAAGTTATAAAAACTACAAACAATCTAATATTTTCTACAGCAACAAAAATCCAGCCGTCTTGCCAACAGAAGCAAGGGGCTGAAAGGCTCTAGAGAACAAACACATCACTGAATGAGTTTATTGCCATTCTGGATGTGTAATTTCTGCATTTATGGTGCACTGAGGGTGTTCAGCGGTCTGCAGATTGAGCCATAAACACAGAGCAGATGCTGTAATGAAGAGCTTCCAACTCGCTATGTCTTTGAATATTATTCTGAGGAGTTACAAGTCTGACTACATTCTCGCAACAGGCTGTTTCTGAGATCCATGGGTGGAGTGACATTGTGGGCCTGTTTTTGCAAAGTTGACTTCAATTTTTAAGATTTCATTCACAGACGAACATCTGACTCATTAGAAGGTTTGGGCAATTGTTTCACATATTCTGAAGTGCAAAGTCAGAGGAGTTTAATCAATCAATTGGTTGTTTGGGTTACTTGAGTTACTTATAGTTAGAAGTCCTATTAAACATAATCTTATCCTGGAATATCAACTGACTAGTATATTTGCCTTGAGGTTTCTAATTTCTTTAGCTGTTAGTTTAATGTATTTGAATGGAAAAATATTCAGGCTTAACCTAATATATAGATATCGGTAAAATTCTCTGTTGGCAATAAAAGAAAGATAGAAATCCATAGATATTCATAATTAATAAATTATTTAGATCCAAGTTACTTGTCACTTCTTTTTAAAGTCAAAATGAGTAAACATTATGCAACGGAAAGATTAAAATATTATGTAAATGACGTTTCCTTTAAAAATTATTTCAGTGACTAAATGTTAAACTGTTTCTAATTATTTTCTGGATAAATACCCTCAGTGAGTGTCAAGCAATTCTATGTGGAGCTAAGATGTGACAATACACTCCAATGACCTTTTGCAATAATAACACTATGCAAAACTAAAACAATGACAATCACAAAGAAAGCATTAAATTGATGCAAGCAAATAATTTTAAAACATAGGTTTTTAAGTAAATAGAATATTATTATGTTCCTGTGATCGTTTCTTAAGCATTTGAATATATGTTCATACTGGGTATGAGAAGTAAGTGAAATACCAGATAGAATGATGATGCTATGAGGAAATGTTACCCTTGTTCTGCTAGAAATATTTTTTTTGTCCACAAGGAGAGGTAAAAGCCCACAGCCCTAGTGATTATACCGCCCTCAGCAAGCATTTTAATTTGTCTTTCTTCCTTTGTTTATGACAGGAAATATGATAGCGAGTCAACAGACATCACAATCAAAAAGAGATAACAGGGTTTCTTTCATAGGAAAACTCACTGTTCTAGCTTGTAAATAAGAAAAATCTGTCATTTTGAAGTTGTTTTTCCTTTCATAATACAACAAATGGCTTTAAAAGTTACTGCAATCCTTAACTTGCCTTTATAGTAAATAACAGAAGATTTTATCAAAAGAAAGTATTGTCATACAATTTAACTACTTCATAGTAACATTTATGGAGGACCTACTGTTTATTCGTTCATTTATTCAATCAATCATCATTTCAGCAATAAGCTTAAAAGCACTCAGATACTTGAGTGATGCTAAATAATATTCAAGATTAAAAAAAAAAGCTATAAGAGGCAGGAGCTGACTACCATTCTTGCAATATAGTAAGGGACACATTCCAAACTATGACAAAGTATACAGATTAAGTGCCATAACAGAGGACCAATATAACATTATGAGTGTTCAGGGAAAGAAGAGATTAAATTCAGCTAATGAAGCAGCATCTGTAGAAAGATGGGAAAATATTTCTTAATAAAAATGGAATTTGAACTTAAATGATGTTTTCCAACAGGAGACACTGTGCTATGATGAGACCACTTAATATGGAAAATAATGTCAGTGAAAATTCAGTGCACTTCCAAGCCACAGCATGGAATCTGGTATGAATTGTGTACATGGAAAGGTGTAGTGGTAGGTAAATTTGTAAATTCAGAAAGAAGACAGATTATAGGTAGTGATCAATGTTCTAAAATGAACCTTAGGTAATCTTTTAGCATAAACTACAGATTTTTGTACAGATGCAGTACAGATTTTGTACAGATGCAGTACAGATTTTTGTGAAGTTTTATGATCATGGGTAAGCTTTTTAAGAAGAGATTGACTATAGAAAGAGTAGTTAATAGAATGCTATAATAATGTAAATGACAGGTTTTAAAAAAAGTCTTAAACTAGAGTAGTAAAACGAAAGTCAAACCCAAAACATGCATATGAAAAATTTTTCTGGATTTAATTTATTAGAACTGAAATATTGGAGAGGAAGGAAGAAATAAAAAATAAAATACAACTCTCACAATTTCAGCCTGGGTGACTAGTAAAAA